AACCTACAGACACTCATATTTTTGTTGGGGGATGGCAAGCCCACGTACGTCGATATCGAGGAGCTGAGGAAAGGCCGAGAGCAACGCCGCTCTGAGATCGGACGCCGACATATCGAACGGCAGGTTGCGAACCGTGCCTCCTAATACACCACACATGGGTTGAATTCAAGGATCATGGCCAGTGTCGACCTTCAAACGAGACGGCAAAGAAGCCCGAGACGGCGCAGCAAGTAAGGCTCTGAACTTCCACGATGTGGCACGTGTCGATACCCTTGACGAGCTCGTTGGTTTGTGCGTCGACGACGGGTGCATTCCCCGCCCATTTGAGCCCATCAACTAATGCAAGTATCAAGCAAATGTCAAAAGAATCGCAGAACCGTACGCTGGTTTTGGTTGGTGCGGTCAATCACAAGCGCAGGGATGTCTCCAATGTAGTTGCGATCCCACATCAAATCAAACGCAATCGTAATCTAAGTGAGATATACGAGTCACCAAATCCAATGACCACACGTGTCTGGATCCATAGTACGTAGTTGCCAAGGGGACTGCAGAGTTGCGCGCCCTGGCTGAAGGTCACGGTGACGGCGCCGATCTTCACATACGACTCGAGAAGGGTTTTCAAGTCCGCAGCAGACGCCGAGAACGGAATGCTCGGGAAGACGTGCGCGTCGTACGTGAGCGTAGCGTAGCCACTGTCGGCAGCGCAGAAGAACTGTTGCACTTCCACAACGCTACAGTTTTTGAGTTTGAGTTTATTTTTAGGTACGTACCGCCACGTGGGGCGAAAAATGTGTTGGTCGGCCGCACCCGGCGGAAACACAACGTTCCATGTCGTGGAGGTTGGTGTTGATGACACTGTGACCGTCACCTACATCATGTCGAATTGAAACTCAAAATACCACACCAAAAGTACTGTTGCGATCGTCGGTAGCGCCTCAAGCATCTCGGTCATCGAAGTACCCAAGGCATTTGTCGCGGCGGCATTGTAATTGATGGGGTCTGTGCGCTCGAGACCAAAGTTGAGGACAAACGTGCCTACCGTCCATGGAGTTAAGATATATGTCGAGTTTTGAAACTCAATTTCGTAGTACCACGAGAGATGACCGAGTCGTAGCGAAGCATCACTTGATGCTGCAGGTACGATGCTGCACACGTAATGAGCTGTACGTCCTCGGTCTGGCCGGATGTCATGGGGTCGTCGCCCAAATGACATTGCTCTACGCAAAATGTTTTGTGTATGCAATCAAGGGTCGAGACATACTGAGGCTACAGTCGGCGCCGGTGCTGCCTGCGTCGCAGAGGCAGCCGCGGACGATGTCAGCGTCCCACATCGCGTACGGTGAGTACTGGTACGGTGCTTGATTGTACAAGTCGAGTGCCACGAGCGGTGTTGCGGCGAGCTGCTGCATCGTGATGCACTGGCCTCGGTTGCTGCAGTCGTCGACGCACGCCACTACGTGCCCATCAGCACTCAACAACGGCAAAAAGCCTACGCAATTGACACGCGTTGCCTTCAAAGCCAAGCTGGCACGAGCAAGTGCCCGTAGAGCGGTCACAGATCCCTCGCGCCGAGCACTCGGCGACCTAGTCAGAGCGACGCGTCGTGGTCAGCAGCGAAACGTGAGCCATAACATACGCCGTGGGCGACGTCAGTGCCCGTAACGATGCCCCAGGCTTTGCCTTGGGGGCATAGCACTACCCATAAATGAGCTTGGCGGTGAAGAAAGGAAAAGTACTCTGCGAACAATCGCCGCCCGTGAAGCCTTGCTGGCACGCGCACACATCGAACGTGTTGCAAAAGCCATGGCCTGAGCACGCGTTCCGGCACTCGGCAGCACTTTGCGCCAGGCTTAGCGCGACGACCACGAGCACGTGACCGATGTACATCGAACCCCAGAAATGTAACCGAACCTACCGTCACAACGCCACCCGTACCGTAAATATACGGTATATTTACTTGCGTGGACGCAGCAAAACGGTGTTTGTATCGTAAAAAGACAAGACATGGGATTGCCAGCGTCGACGTCTATCTCCTTGGTCTGTCTCTGCGTTGCCGTGTTGTATTGTTCAGAAACGTACGACGCTGCTTGTATAGGACAAAGCCACGGGCAGACAGGCCTTCCACTGGATATGGATGAATGC